TAAGATGTATGCAGCATAGAGCCAACTACTCATGAACATGGCAAAAAAAGAAAGCAAGCAGATATTCCTTAAATTGAAAGAAAAAAAAAATCTATACACACATTAAACTAAAACTACACACACAGACTGTTCCATAGTACCTGAGAAGTCAATTACTTGTCCATGTCGTGATGCATACAGTTAATATTGAGTGTGTGCACAAACCTTTAATGCCAAACTTCACAGATCTTGCTGCGGTCAGGAACACAGCCAAAGCCATAAATGTAACACCCGATTTTCAAAGGAGATGGGAATGTGAAAAAGAGTTTGGGAAATTCTCCTATGAGGATGCCTTTGAGTTGCTCCAGATAGTCAGAGAATATTTTCTGTAGCCCCCAGCCATTAAGATGTGGCACAAGGGCATTCCTTCATCTCCAGGTCAACCAAGTGAGGCCAAGGCTGATAAGCCCACCCCTTTCCTTCAGACATACATAGGAGGAAGCTCCCCCTTCTGCCACTGGACTATACAAGAGAGGGGAGGGAAAGTGAAGAAAGAAAAGCCTACCGTCTTCTGTCCACCATTTTAGAGAGAAAAGGGATTCCTCAGCTGCTTTTCCTATCTGACAACTAAATGGAAAAGGCAAGAGATCAGGCTGTTTCCTCACTGCATTAGATGGGAGAGGAAGCAGAATAGGACGAGGGCAGGAAGCAGCCAACAAAAGGTAAGAGATACTAAAATTCCCCATGTACTAATGCTTTTGCATTTGAATCCAAATTCTTAGAAACCCACAAGCCAGCTGTGGAGAAAGGACTTCGGGAAAGCTGGGAGGGGATGGAAGGATGTCTCGCTTTCTCAGCATAAGTACTCGGCATAAGTGTTTCGCTTTGTTTTGTATTTTCATGCTTCATCCAAAGTGTTACACAACATGAAGCTTTATATAGCTATATGACAACACACAATCCCCACACGTCCAGGGAAAAACCTCAACCACACTAAAATTTGTTCAAATGAACACCCAAGTCTAGCAGGACACTAATGTTGACTATGTACCACAACAAAATTATGCATTAGAAAATATTCCTCGCCTAGTTGTGAGAGTACAGCTTTCCCATGGCAATTCTGATGCCCTAAATTCACTAACATTTGCCAGATAGCAGCAGCTGCTCCAGGATTCCTTTGGCAAATGCCGTATCTCACTTTTTTGTTCTCGGTATGCTGCAATTTCCTGTGGAATGAAGAAATCATCTATACTACAAAGAGGTGCAGTACTAACAGTTTTAGAAGTAAATTATTTTACAGCACGTGTATTATGGAGAGAAATATAATACTTGAGCTGAGAAATTCCCAACCAGAGAGAGATTAGAAAAACAATCTGATAAACAAACACCATTAAAACTTGTATTTTTTTTATTCAGAGCAAAAGATATTGGGTAACTGTTGCTGTTTGCTGTTCCTAGAAAGAAGGGAATTCTGTTGCCAACAGCTGTAGTTTTTCATAGGAATTATAAGACTATATTGAAGATTTATGTTCCTGACAAAGGCATAAAGTTATCCAAACTAGGGCAGAAAAATCAGAAGTCTTTCCCCAATGAAACACACACGCATTACTTTTGTTAACTGTTACTATGGCACAAGTTTTGATCTTCAAAACCAGAAGCTCATTCTGTGGTCGATGTTTATAATGATTAAGTTTGTGTGGCAATGCCACTCTGCACAGGGTGAACTGGCTTATCACGGGTTGTTATACAAACCGGAAAGATACCCTATCACCTTTAAATCAATTGAAGTCATAAACACTTACCTGCAAAAACACGACTTTAAACTTTCTTCTTGAAATTCTGGGGGTTTACAACTATGCTTTCCCTAGCTTATAAAAAGGTTTCCTCAAAGCTGTGGCCATCTGACAGTTTCATAGGAGAGAGGAGAAAGGAAAAACGCTGTCCTTGCATAAAGTAAACAAGCAAGGGGAAGAAATCCTGTGTTTGCTTCAGTTACACAGATGCAACTACCTGCCTGCACACCACCCTCCTGATTCTCATGGAAAAACTATTCCTCATGCTCTGCAGAATTAAGGTCTTCTGTGTTCAATGGAAGTACATCAGATAACAGTATAAAGAACTATTATTTTTAAGTCAACTGACATTCAGCAATAAAACTCAGGATAACAGAGGTTTTAAAGCTCATTTATTTGCAAGCAGCCGAACAGCATAGTCTGGGTTGAATCCTGGGCCAATTTACAGTTCCACTCTATGCTGTTTCATGAACATTACACTGAGTTACACAACTTAGGAATCAATAAATCCATTGCCTTGAAAGAATTTGCTCAAAGACTCACAATGAGTCAATGGCAGAGTCTTGCCTAGATCTCAGACTTTGGCTTCCATTTTGCAGTTGCTTGGTCCACCAGATCGTATTTATACAACACCAACAAAAATATTTTTATTTCTGACTCTCTGAAATTGCTGTTTGTTTGATTTGTTGGTTTGGGCTTGTCTTTCACTAGGAAAAGAAAATAAACTAAAAGTTTCTATGTAACTACAGTTTTGAGGTTTTTTTAACCAACTATACTTCTCAGCTGAAGGAAGGATAGAAAGCCTGATCTCTTTGAACAAAATGCAAAATAATTCAAAGGCCTACACAAAAAAATCACAGTGTACATGCCAGTTTTCAGGTTCAGATAGACATAATAGTCTATTTAATTACTGACTTTAAAAATCCTACATGTAATCACTGAGAAGGAAAAGACTAAAACAAAACCTTCCATCAAGGATCAATTTTCTACTACTCCTTACTCCTGCAAAAGGGTCTGTAAAAACTAAGGATAGTTTTTTTTTTCCTTAACAGAATTTTAATTGAGCATAAGCAAGTGAACAGAAAGCATTCCATTTCCATGGCATTTATGATCCAAAGAAAAAAAAAAATTAAAAATCTGGGGACATAAAACCAACTTCCATTTTAAAAGACTTATGATCTAAAAGAAGGATAGTGCCTATGTGGCAAGCTTTTTTCACCACAAATGGCTTCCTTAAAACAAATTACCACTGACAAATAATCAGTTATAAGCATAGTTTCCAATAGGGCATAAGTTATCTAGCATGGCACTAGAGAACACAATTTTAAATATGCTTATAGTTTTTTCAGAGCCAATGGCTCTTTCCATGCTTAAGGCTAAGCGCATGTTCATGTACTCTGCCAAGACAAAAGCTTCCAAGTCTGTTGTTAGAATGCAAAGTGAATCTTTTTATCCCAAACCACATTTTCTTGCATGTAATCAGCTCTGATGCTGCCACCATAGTTTCCAATTCATTCCAGGGCGCACTCAGCATTTATGAGGGCACAGATGGTGCTCTTTCTTTGGTTTCTAAAGAACATGCCTAAATATTAAAACAAACTTGGCTTTCCGCCTCCTATCCTGTTCTTACTCTCTGTATTGCCACCATAAAAATAACGGTAGCCTTTGATCTAACCTGGAAGCCTTTTCTAATTTACACACAAAATTTGGCAATAGGACTATCAAGTACAGTCAGCCCACTTGAAACCAGAGAACCTGATACGCAGAAATCCAGCACATTAATCACAAGCCGTCAAGAGCAGGAACAAGCAATCCACAAAACAATCAAAAGGACAAAAATTGGTAACAATTTTTTCAGTAACAAACTACATGATCCTGACTCTATTTAATGGCTGTGTGTGTCTGGAACTATAAGGTTATTCACCAGGTTATTCTTTATTTGTAAGGCAAATAAAGAGCACTAGCATGACAGTATTTAAGTGAACAAGGCCTTTTCCAACACACTCAATGCCATGGTTTGCATTATGCTGAGAACTTGTAGGCAGCAGAGGACACTTATTCCCAAATTTTGAAAATTGTTTACTCATTTCCAAGCACGCACACAGCAACGTACACAGAGACCAACAGAAAGACCAGCTGTCACAATATTCCATTAAAAATGTCCTAAGGTAAGGGAATCTCAGATTTGTCCAGCAGATCTTGATAAAATGTTCTTGAACATGCAGCTAACTGAGATGCAGGTGCACATGATGGTCAACGGGTCTTAGCCACCCTTCTTCACAGGCTTTCAGTCTCACGCAAAGCACACTGACACTGGAAAAATCACACGTCATGTGCATCAAAATATGTATGACCAAACTCAAATGGGGGTACAGCAGGAGGAAAGGGCTTGGAGAAAGATTAATCAGACTGCTTGGATAAGATGTTCCCAAGTGAGGACTATTTCACTACCTCACTGGCAACATGAGGTTAGCAGACAGTGCACACTGCCAGAATCTGGGAAAAGAAATGTGCATTTAAAGCTGTTCACTTGAATTCAGAACAGCTCAGCAACTGTATGCATAGACTGGTAAAGAAACATCTGAACAAACATCAAGTCTAGAAAATCAGTTTTAGAAGTACATTTAAATGCCAAAAAGCCAGAGATTATACTAAAGAATCAGTTAGCTCCTACATTTGTTTTAAAAATAAGCAACGGCTAGTAATTTTGCAAGTAATGATCCTAGATATGTGCACTCCACTAAATACAATAAACTAAATAAATCTAAATTAACATTCAGTACTAAATCAAAATTACATTAAATCATAATAAAAGTCAACAAATAAAAACTCTGTAAATATAAATGTTTCAAGAACAAACCACTGTGAAACATACATAAATGAAACAATATTAGATATGGATGGCAAAGACACTGCTCTGCAGCTAGTCTAAATCACTTTTTATAGTCCATTCCCTTTGAGGCAATGGGTCCTCCTACATCCCTGCCTCTCCCAAGGTAGCCCCTCCTGCTGTCTCCTTGTCTCCTGAAACTCAGCCCTGCTCTTGTCCCAAACTTTGCAGTATTTCCTGCGGTTTGACTGGCTTCCAGGAAATTCAGGCTGTTCCCTCTTCTTGGGATCATGAGTTTACACGACGCATAACTTGAAATTACTGGTACATTCAATACTTTCAAAATTATGGCTTGAGAAAAAGCTTCAAAATAGCAGTAGCAGCAACCCTGGCCTTACCTGAAGGATCTTGTATTGTCATTTCCTTCCGCTTCAGCATCAGCTTGTCCTTAACCCACGGGAACTCCTGTAAGGAATCCAAGAACGCGTCAAAAGCTTTGGGTCCTCTGGTAGGGAGAATATCAAGGAGCATCATGGTTTTCCTCTGGCTAGTGGTTTGGGCTTTTATTTCTTGAACATGACTGTCCGTGAGAATCCCCTCTTGGTAGAGATACTGAATAACAAGTCCATCCACCAGCACCTCTGTGCAGAGCTCCAGGCGCAGGGAGCGTAAAAGCTGCTTGTCTCTGGCATCCATCTGGCAACCTAGAGTGTGAGAAAAGGAGTAAGGAAACGTGTGAAGACTAAAATACTTCAATCTTTAACATTCGGAAGCGATATCTGAACATCCCAAAGTGATGTCTGACACCTGTCAACCTTTAGAAAAACTCTAAGCTCAGAAATTACCAACCTGGCAAAACTACTAATGATCCCCATCATCTTCTTTCCACTCGGATTTCACTGTCTCATGAGGTAAAATGATGCAATTTCTGGGAAATACTAGACAGGAATAGAACATTTGGCATTGCAAAGACCAGTCCTTTGCTGGAATGAAACCCATGCCAAATAATCTTGCTATTAACTGGTTAAGGTCCATACTAAAGGCAGTTAGAGCACTTGCCAGACCTTACGAGACACTAACCCCCCAAAATTAAACAGATGTCACACCTAATCACTGATACAATTACAAGAGCAGCAGCAAGACTGGTAGATGCATCTCAGCCAGGCAGAAGCAGCAGGGACAGAATCAGCAGGTAGCTTTGGCCTACATGATGCATTTCAAGTTTAGGAGGGGTAGAAACGTACCTTATGTACCAGGTCTTTCTCAACCTTGACTCATCTTGGAAGACTGCTCAACTGTTCAACAGTTGATGAGAAGAAACTTTCTTTGAATTTCCATCTCAAATTTATCCCCTTCTATTTATAGGCATTTGTTCTGCCAGAACTGTTGCTTAGCTTAAGTAGCTCTTCTCCCTCTCTTCTAATGTGTTCACAGGAAGTGATCAGATGCCATCTGCCAGCTTCCGTTTCACTTGGCTAACACTGACTAGACAAAAGGTGAAAAAGATGCATTTATTGCCACTACAAAAGAATAATCAGGGTCCAGAGACACCAAGCAGCTCATCCAAGACCAAGTCAGAAGTTCAAGCCAGAACCTTTGAACCAAATCAAAGTTCTTAATGACAAACTTATCCCTGGGCCCATTACTAGCACTTGAAAAGGAAAATGACAAGACAACATAATTAAATACTTTCTCATTAGTAAAATGAAGTAAAAAAATGGCAGCAGGTGTTGAGTGTGATTACCAAGAGGGCTTCTCATAATTAAACTAGACACTGCTGTTTGAAACCACTACACCTTGCAGAAATTCCGCTTCATTCAGCTTGAGCATACAAGGACAGAACCTTCAAAGCTTTTCCATGAAACCTGATGAAGTCTTCTTACCAACAGAGGTGCCTACTCACTCCCAGGGCCCCATCAAAGAGTGTGTGGTTGGCCTGGTTGTTGAACTCCAGGAGGGTGACCAACAGAACATATTGGCATGTAAATGGCACCTTGGACAGAATGCATGAACTCGGTGCCATGGGAGAGATTGGAAAAGCCTGTCTGTGACATCCTCTGACACAGCTACTTTCCAAAAATGCTTCCTTCAAGTGCCAAAAGCACTGCTGGAAAGCATCTTCCTGGAAGACTACCATCTTTCCCAGGTTACCCAGTGCATTCCTCATCTACTGAAGTGAATTTCAAAGTGCTTATCTTCTGTCTAGGGATCATGTGGGAATCAAATACTGCTATGCCAGCCCATGTCCCTATGAAATCCTAGTTTGCCAAGCAGAGTTCAAACATCAAACTCCATCATGGACTGAGACAGTAGTGAAAGCAAGGAGATAAAAAAGAGCAGGCAAGAAAGAGAATTTTCCCACTTGATGTCAGGAGGCTAATTTTGGACAGGTGAAGCTGAAGATTCTGGTCATTGTACCCGTACACTACAGGAAGCAATCTCTGGACTACAGCAAAATTCAGGCAGTAAATCCTATCACTTCTTCCTTCTAGGAGAACATCCCCGAGCTCATGAAGCACTTGCAGGGTTCAAGAAAGGCATCCAGCAGCACCTCTGAGGGTGTGATCTCAACCCAGGTAGAAAACTGTTACATATACTACAAAAGTTTTGTCTCACATTCTGAATGGGCGCCGAGAGTCCCCGTCCAGGATCATCCCCACGTGCTGGATGAGGACTGTACAGAACTTGATTAGCTCCTCTTCTTCACGACCAATGTAACCAACACTTTTCAAAAATAAAGCTCTTACAAACCAAAGGTTTGCACCTTTGAGCAGTGAGAAACGCCAGGAATCTGAAGGGGGAATTTCTGCTGAAAAAGGCCTTTGCCTTCAGACTGCGCACAACTGAGGGTCCAAAGTCCTGGCACTGGCCTGGTAAACTTCCAGGACGGGGCATGCTGATTTCTGAGGCCTTCTTAAAGATAAAGTGTTTCTTTGTGTGTGCTTACTGTGAGAAGTAAATGTCTGAGTTAGGAACTAAGCATCTAGATATGGAAATATATCAGGATTTTGATGCGTAACAGTGTTGGGACAGAGTTTAGCGCAACACAGAATTAACAAATTCATTTTAGTCACAGTCCGTATCTCAGGATTCAAAGTAAGCTCTGAATTAAATTTAGTCTAGTAATTTCACAGAAAGTAAAAATATGAAATGTCCATTTACCCAAAAGATGACATGGTTCAAACATCCCCAGATGCTTCTGAAAATGGATCTTTTCCATCCTAAAGCCAAATTTTAAGAAATATAGCCCAGGACCTGCTGAATGAGCACAGTCCTTGATTCAGCAACACAAGCAGGTTTGCATTTTTCTGGATCTGACAGAGTAACTGTACATGACTGGGGATAAAACTTTTGATAAGGACCCCTTCTGACACTAAAAAGGCTCATTCCCTTAGATTTTTTTGCTAGAAACATTTCACCGTTTTCTGGAACTCCAGCTGCACTCACCTGCCTAACCCATGAGTGATTCTGGCTACTAACAGCATGCCTACGGGTTAAAAATCTTACCC